AATTCTTCCTCTCCCAAATAAGCAAGCACTGCCGGGGCCTTTGCTGAAGTCAGTGGAGGAGAATCTATAGCTCCACAGATCAGCCAGAGGGAAGGTTTTCTAAGAGTAACAAATCTTTTCTGTGGCAACATGCTTTTTCTAGAAGCTTTTTGTCATTCTGGCAGTAAACTGTTTTCTACTTGCTGCCTTAGCAACAAGACCCGAATTCACTTTCCCTCCAGCCTGTGGTTTGATTATAAGAGCACTAACATTGTACCCAGAACTAGAAGAAAATTTCATCCTGGGGAAATCCACGGACATCACCTGCTTTTTGGGTTAGAGACTTATTTATGTACATTCTTCGTATGTCCTTGAAAGGAAAGGTCAAATAGAAAGTCTTAGAAATGGTGAATCTAAACCCCACATGGTCCCGAGTCCCTAGTAAATGCTGTAGCTAAAGTTTTTGTTACATCACTGCATCTGGCCACAGCTAAGAGCAGTTTTTCTCCCTGGAGTTCTCTGTGACCACCTCAGAGGGAGAGCCAAAATGTTAAGTGTCCCTTCTTGTGTACCAGTCTTAGGCTAACTCTAAGTCTCGAGTCTTTGTTTAACCCAAGGATATGAAGTTCACTTTGAGAATAAAACTTTGTTTACCAAAGAATAGAATTCTGATGGATTTTGGCTTTAGTTGATCCCTTGAGAGCTCATTTAAATATTTCTTACTGAATTCAATTTTATCTCGTAGTAGAACCTGCTACAAGTAGGCTTGCGCTCCACCAGAACTAAGGACTAGAGAATAAATACCAAAAGTTTAAAGCAGAAATGTACAAGTTGCTGTTTCTTTCTATTTTCTTTAGTATATTAAAGATGTAATGTGTGTGACTTAGAAATTAAATCTGGTAGCATCCTGACAAAAAATGATGGAATGATAGGTTAAGAATAGGAATTTGTACCTTCCCAGAGCAGGCAGGGAATGCAATGAAATCTCCAAAGCGAAATTCCCATAGGTCACAGTGTTATGATGTCTACTGTTAGGAAATTCTGTTTTTCCTTAAACTTCTAGAGTTTGCACAAAAAAGAAACTCTTCTGTGGGTATGGGCTGCTGGACCAAATATGGGCAAAGGATTTTTGCCTTGCCTCCTCATGCATAGCTGAGTCAGGTCAAGAGCATTTTAAATAGACTTTTCTAAAGACTAGGACCTTAAAGCAGGAAATACCATAGAGCCGGGGCATCTTCTTCCCGTGCCCCTAGTGTCTTCGCTGTGGAGCCCTAAGAGCAAGGACGAGACCCTGCCTGTGTTCTCAAAGTCTGCCCCTGGGCCTGCCTCCTTATAGATGTACCACTTTAACATCCACAGTTAGGACTTCTCACCTAGGCAATCAGTTTTCTCGAAGTTCAAACAAAGACCTTCTGTACCCAACGATCTACTCTTTAAATTTCTATTTAAAGGTATCCTACTCTGCCAAGCACTGCATTAGACTGTTACATACCGACCTCATTTAAATATCCTATGAGGTCTGTGTTATTGACCTCATTTTATTGAGAAGGAAACTAAAGTTTAAAAAGTTTTAAAGCATTTCCCCCCAAAGTGACAGCTAATTAAATGATGGGGCCGGGCTACAAACCTGGCTGTGTTAGACTCTAAAGCACATTCTTCAAAACGATGATGCCTTTCAGTTTGAGTGCTGTCCTTGGAGGTTTTAAATTTCATTTTATTAAAGAAGACAGAATCTGTTTTCACCCACAGTGGTATAGCTCCTAGAAACTTCTGCATTGAAACATCCTCTTCTGAACCTGTTCAGGATCCAGTCTTTGTCAGTAACTAGAAGACATCCAACATAGGGAAGGGAGGAGAATTTTGGAAACGGACTGTTACACCAGGGCTCACGTGGACAGCATTCATCCTCACAAGAAATGGCCAATCTGTTGCATATCTGCCTGCCTTAGCACTGTTTAAGTTTTCATTATCTTCCAACTGTCTGAGCTGCTGTTGAAGGCCTCAGAGAGAACAAAGGATAGCTGTTACATTTTCAGCAGTGCTCTCTCTCAACACGGATGAAGTCACTAGCTGTCACTGCCCTTATTATCGGGTTAAATCAGAGTCTCACTGTGCACTGGAGAGATGATGTTGAAAGGGAAAAAAATTAATCTTAAACTTTCCCTCTTATTCAGAATCTTTGTGGCAGAAAAAAATGTAGTATCTACTTCTGTTTAGGTTTTATGGCCCAGAGCAAGTTTTGCTTTGTTTTTCAAAAAAAGTGAAAAAGAGAGAACTCTCTCCCGTCCCTTCCCTTGGAATTTTACTCTCCCAGGTGGTAGTAACTTCCCTTCTGCCTCGGGGATGCTCCGTTGAGCCCCATTAAGGAAACCTGTGCTGCATCCCTCTCCCTCGGGGGCCCCCTCCCTGGGGCTGCACGGGCCTCTCAGTGTGCAGTGGAGGGTCCAGGCTGCCCTGCCAGTCACCAGAGTTGAGTGATGAGTTGAAGCCTATTTGGTAGTTCTAGTCGAGATCTTCAGTAAAGGACAGAGTCCTATGCTCAACAACTCCTTGCTGGATAAAAGAAGCATGGCTTCTTGATTTTGTTACTGTTTTTTTTAAATGTATATTTGAATAGGGACTTTATGCCATTTTTGTAAATTATGCTGTAATTTTTTGGAGACTTAGGAAGTATTGTAGAACTAGAATAATTAAACTTGTTACGAGCATTCCATATAACAGGCTAATCGAGAAGTGTAATATACAGTGGTGAATTGCTAATTTGACCTCAGGATTATGCAGCAGAGATAACATTATCTTCATTTATATAGAACTTTCTGTCTGGAGGCATCTCAGTGCTTTTCCAGCCATATGTATTATCTTGTTTGTTATCACAAACACTATCATTAAGGCTGTGAAATATATTCCAGTACAATTTTTATTTTCAGTTTCTTATAATTGGGGAAAAGGGAGGGGAAGGTTGCATATTTTCTCCAATTCCTGACATTTGCACCAGGGTAAAATTTGGGAAATGACTATTATCTAAACTTTGGGATCTTGGTTCTATATAATGTTTTAAAAAGAAGGAAAGGGAGGGGGAGTCATCACTGCATCCCCTATTCAGCTGGACTATTAACCTTAAGAACTGCCAATGGGGAAAGGCCCTATCAGTCGCTGCCTGGTTCCTCTGCCTTGCATAGTGTTAGAAGAGCTGTCTCTCCTTTGGGGGAGACTCGACCCAGCAAACAGGAAAGTGATCTGATCAAATTCCACCAAACCACATTCCCTCCACCCCGTCCAAGGTTGCAGACAGCAGCGCTCAGGCTGCCACGACCATGAGCAGTTGAAAATGCTGTGCTGGTTGAGTTTCTGTGGGTTTAAGGAAATGGACATAATTAGATTCAGGCCAAGGTGCCAGCCTTCACACACCCCTTCCCTTCCAGAAAGCTGAGAGTCACCACCAGCAGTAAAGAACAACACAATCTGTTCTACCCAGACAATTTAGAGTTTATTTTAAAGGAACCCACCCAAGCCCAGTAAATTCAGCACCTTCTGTCTGCCTTGAGGGCTCAAGAGAACAGATCAGAGCCAACTTCTTGCTTTACCAGAGGGCTCTGGTGATGGACCAGTTGCCCTGACTCTCCACACAGGAAGGGCAGTGTCTCCCCGCAGTGGATGTGGGCATGCTGAACAGCCAGTCCAGGAGATGGCATTTACGTTGGTTATGAAGATACGTGATCAGCTTGTGTCAAGGAGCAGATGGCTAAATGAGGTGAATGCTGTGAGGTTCAGGCTTGAAGAAACAGGAGGGAAAATAGCCCATGATATAAAATCCCCATATCTAGTCTCCTTAATGTGAATTTTTTAAATCGGCATTTATGTTACACAGTTAACTTGGAGTGATGAGAAATGTAAGAAAATTACTGAATTAGTGAACAGCGATTAACTCAGAAGTAAAATTGTATCATCTGAGTTGAAGGTTGTTTTACACAGTGGAGAGAGGATATTGCTGAACCCTGGCCCGGCCTGTCATCTTCTAATTGAAATCTGTTCGTTTAATATGCCCCGTCCTGCAGGGTGCATGGTTCATAATTTGGGAGAGCGTCATCAGTTAATCTAGTTATTTTTCCTGATTCTTCCTTTGAATTCCAGTAAGAATGTGGCACATTCCCTGTGGATTTGTGTGACACTCAGAACAATGAGTTTGTCTGTTCATTAACCTGTGAACTGTCAGGTCCCTTTGGAGAGTGAAAGGAGCAAGTCACTCCAAGGTTAATGCTTTTTTTGTTGGAGGTGAAGCCTCCAGGGAGATACAGAGGGAGAACAGGCCAACATGCTCAAGACTGCCCTGTGAAACTCTGCACTATGTGCAGATGCCAGATCTGTGTGTCCGGGAGGGAGGCTGCCGAGAAGGCTGGGTCACCTCCGCAGATCACCTCCTCTGGTCAGGAGAAGGCTTCCCAGCAGTCAGTTGGGGGGCTGGGGTAAGTATATAGGGTTAACTTCCTAACAATGATTTGGGAACAGTATTAAAATACAAGAAACTGTGAGTGGTTTCCAGTAGTTTCTGTGGCTATTTCTTTTAAGTAGAAAAGCAATATTGATTTCATGCAATTGTCTCCAATGGATGAAATCTTTCATTGAGTGGGAAAGCACTTGATTTTGCGTGTTTGTGCGCCTGTGCACAGGCACATTCCTAACCACAGGCAAAGACAGAAGCTGTTTGCTATTCTCCAGTGTAAATGTCTCATGGACGTATAATTGTACTGCCACTCACAGTTTGAGCTGAACAGTACCTGGTTTGGTTTTCTAGGTAAATCAAATCTAAGTTCTACTTAAATCTCTGGAAAGTGGTGTCTTCCTAATTTTGTTGTAATTCTTCTAAGGCTCATTTGGAGCTAGCCTAAGGAGCAGGTACAGAGTCTGAAGTCAAGTCCGTGCCCTGGCACACTGTATGTTTATGTAATATAGCTCATTTTGTTATTTTTGGATTGGTTTTGATGGAAGCTCATTTTCTTCAACAAATTTTCTTTTTACCCCAGGTATATTCGAATAGTTGGGACTCACAACACAGTGAACAAGATTTTTCACATTGTGGCTTTTGAGTGTATGTTTACAAACCAAACCTTCACTCTCGAGAAGGGCCTGATAGGTAAGTATTACAGTTACATTTTATTCATCTGCTTAGATATTTTATCTTCAAGTATTTTGTTATTCCCTTAATTCATCTCTTAATCAGCTTTGACTAAGAAGTCTAGTTGGTTTGAATGCCTATGGCTGAGTGACATAGGGGAAGGCTTATGTTTTTAGAAGTAGTCAAAATAGTAATTCCAGTAAACTTAAAAGAATATAAATATTTTACTAATAGTTAAGGATTGAAAATATGCTAATGATTCATTCAGATTTGCTATGTGGGGACAGTTGGGCAAAGCCTTTCACACCGAAGGCTTTTCTGTACTTTTCTGTACTTTTCTGTAGGTAAGACCAGGGAGGAAGTCTGTATAAAATGATCTAGTGCTCATACTTTCCAAGACTAGGCAGGTATTTTTGGCTTTGATATGGTATGAATGTACCTTATTTTCCTGGACACATCGGTTCATATTTGCCCTGTTCAGCCAAGTTCACCTCAAGAAAATGCCCACATTCATTTGAACAAGGCCAGAATAACTGGATCATCTTTGTGAAAGTCAGCTTGCCTTGTGGGAAGTATTTCCTGGCTGATCTTTCAAAAGGGTATTTTAAACTTTGGTTAGTTATTTGGTTGCTTTCTGTTGTTTTGTTTTAGTTTTAGGTACTATCTAGTCTGGCATTGTGTATACATTCTAGATGTCACAAGTGGCATTTCCTTTTTGTTCCTTTTTCCCATGCCCACAGGTTTTTACTCAGCTCTCTCCAGGATCTTGGTTTGACTAATTAGATTCTTAAATCTGTGCCTGTACTGTAGCCTCTTTGAACACACACTCTGTGTGTTCAGGTGGCGGGTAAGGTGCCCCTGCCGTGGCATACCCAATGTTCACACAGGGACTCATTTCTCCTATCCTTCTCAAGGCCTGTCCATGCTGGGACACAACATAATGACAGATGTCCTAAAATCATGGGGATGATTAGAATGGGAAAGACGAGTGTAACTTGCAAATGTTTTCTAATTCTTTGGTTATAAACCTATACTTTCCTAACATCTGCTATGCCCTAAGTGTAATCCTTTACCTATGGAAATATAGGAGAGTAATATTAATAAAGCAGTGTGAGTAGAAATTATTCCAACATATAGAGAACTTTTAGAGCTCAACTAAAATAAGTTGGTTTTAAATTTATTATGGATGTGATTTTTAATGTTAAATATAAATGTTAATGATTTTGCTACTTTTAAGTAATTTGAAAGTTAATAGTACTGAAGCCTTACCTGATATTATCAAGGCTTTTAATTTTGTGGGCTGTGTGGAATACTGGTGACGGGGCTATGGGGAGGGCACAGGTCCTCCCCAGGTCCTTTTATAGGCTGTGACCTCACTGTGTGTGTAGTTAGGACTCCTGTAACTAGGATCTTAGAAACCAGACCACCTTCATAGTCATGGGATATGTAGCATTTGTCTACTCATTTCAGCCCAGTGCACTGCAGTTTTGAACGTGCTACATAGAAAGTGCCACCTACTTTAATGGAGAAAGAACAGCTTTGTGAACATTGTAATTATGAAAGAAACAGGCCAATCTGGCATGAGAAGCTGTTAAGGAATGAGACTCAGGATTACTTGTGGTGAGGGATGCTGTTCTTGGACTGTGTGCTTTGTCCACACTGAACTAGTTAGCCTAGTCAGAATCCATGATAGTCTCAGGCGTGTTAGGGATGAGAGAAGACTGCAGGGATGCAAGAAGTGTTTTTGGTGTCTGGTCAAACACTTTTTGTCGAGCCCTTTTCTATGGTGTGCACAAATCTGACTGCAAAGAACAATGCAGTCATCTGCCTTTCACCCTCCCTCAGCTAGATGGGAGTAGTGGTGCAGATAGGCAGGTGTGGTGCACATGTGGGCAAGTGGCCTGCCGTGGCATCCCCTCTGGTCCTCCTCCTGCCTTCTCCACAGCTCACAGCTGCCCCCCTGCTGGGCAGGCCGGGAGGTGTGTGAGTCCTGAGGGGGTACATGTTCCACATGGCGGCTCTACTTAGTTTAAAGGGGTGTTTGAAGTAGTAATGACCAGCTTTCCATGGTGCTGGTCTGCTCCAGCCCCCTGCAGGCAGCTCCACTTGAGGTGTGGTCCTCTAGTGGGGGCCGGGTGTATGCCAGAACCACCCGCAGTTACTGTTAAATTATAGCTGCCAACTGCTTACTCCTTCCTACACCCTGTGAAATGCGCACTCCTCCCTTGAGGACAACTGATACAAACTCCAGGCTCCCATGGGGGGAAGAGTAAAACTAAAACAGTCATCATGAATAACTAATGGAATATCAGACCCTACTTTGATGTTTCAAGATTCAGAACCTCTTTCTTTCACAGTCCATGTTCTTTGTTTCGTAGTGTAGGCTATTCTAATTAGAGCAGCACTCTCTTTATAGGCCTTAAATTACTTTAAAATGTTTGTGTTGTTTTTTAAAATCAGTTTTTAATGTTATTACTTAAAATGTATAATGATGCCAGGAAAAACTTAAACAAAAGTGAACTATGTTAGCCTTACACGATTTTAGTTGTCTCCTCCCAAAGGCTTTCTGTCCCATTTGTGTTGACAGCATGTCATTGTTCCTGCTGCTTCACGTGTGCAGATCCATGGGGCAGCTTGGGAGACGTAAGGGCTTGAGAGTCCCTGGGAACTTGGACCACCCTGGCCAGATCTGAGCGTCGGACTCCCCTCACAGCATGCTCCTACTTCATCTGCCCCTTCTCGTGGCCGCTCTTGACCACGCTGGGAGGTGTTCCCTCCCGGGAGAGCAGCCTGGGAGGACTGTCTCCTCTTGGTTAGGAGGCATATAGAGGATGCTTGAACTTGTCTAACAGTGAGGCATGGAAGGAATATTAGAGTAGATATAACTGCTACTTTTCAAGCCTTCTGCCTCCCAAAGAATGTGTCTGCTTTGCCTTGGCACTCCACTTTGTAATACACACAGCATGTGCCATGTCCTTCCACTTTTTCAGAATCATTGCCAAAACTTCTTTGCATTGAATCTTGTATTTAAATTCACTTCTTTGAATACCCTAATAGTTACTCAGATAGAGAGACTAGTACCCAACCCCCAGCTTAAAGAACTATCAACTTACATACAACTTAGTTTTATCTACACACTATCTACTTCCTCCCCATCAGATTATTTTGAAGCCAGTCCCAGATATTTTATCATCTTATCCATAAGTGTTTCAAAATGTATCTCTAAAAGTAGGGACTCCTTTTTGTTGCCATAATCACAATATCATTGTACTATCCCAAAATTGAACAGCAATTCTTTATGAGTATTTAATATTCGGTGTTCAGATGTCCCTAATTGGGTGAAAGCCTGGAGTGAATCTGTGTGTTTTTATAGGTTGTTTAAATCAGAATTCAGATAAAGTCCATGCTGTCAATAAATAGCTGTAATGATTCTCAAATCTCTTAAAATCTATAGGTCTCCCCCACCCTGCCATTATAATTTATTTGTTGAAGAAACTAGGTTTTTATCTTGTAGAGTTTCTAACAGCCTGGGTTTTGGTGATTAAATCCCCATGGTAATATTTAACATGTTCCTCTGTTGTATTTCTTGTAACTTGGTAGAGGCTTAATCTCATTCAAGTTTTATTTTTATTTTTTATTTTTGTAAGAATGTCCTATAGGTGGTAGTATATGTGTCTATCAAGAAAATCTTTGGTTGTCTCTTTTGGATATTCATTTACATCCATTCAAAACTGCAAAATAGTTACAGCCAATTCTGTCATTCCTCCTTCATTTAGTAGCTAGAGAGAGAAGAATGTTCTCCACACTCGTTTGGTAATCCCAAGGTGTGATTTCCCCAGGAGGAGAGGATAAGTGCTATATTTGTTCTTTTTATTTACCAGTTTGCAAAGTGAGGAGGTGGTTACCTAGCATCCTCCAAAGTTGACCAATGAGGTTTTTTGTGGGGCTTTTCTATTGGAGGGGAGTGCATATTATTTTGAATTTATGGGATTAAACAAATTGGATATCTTTTAATCACTTACAGTCATTATTATTGATATTCAAATTGTCCTCATCTTTAGCTTCTTCGAATTGGCTCTTGAGTCTTTCTGGCATGACCTCAGTAGTCCTTAGTAGTTCCCTGACTTCTGGCAGGACAAAATGTACCAGGTTCATCTTGTACGTTTCCTGCCCCTGATCTGGAATCAGCCATTTCTGCAACAAGCCCTGGTTCCTTTAAGTGGGAAATGACATTTGGAAACCTCAGTCTAAGTACCTGATACTGGGTTGGTCATTATTTCTAGGCCTTTTCAGTGGATGGAACTAAGAAATGTATGCACATATATTTATTTATTTATATATAATATTTAACAGATAAAATATATCATGAGCACATGCTGAAACTTCTCATTAAAATTCAGTACACAAAGTTTCTGTTTTACCTTTCGATCTTTCACCTCCTTTGTTCCATACTGAAAATCTTTGTTACCAGTGATAAAGCGCAATAATTCATTTGCTTTGTCCCCAGGACATACCAAATAGTCTCAGAATCACAGTACCAATACTACCATGGACCATATGATTACTGAAATTAGTTTAAGATTTTTTGCATTACTTTTTGGGCCTTTAGGGTATATCCAACTAGAGATGTATAGTGAAATTACTGTGTTTTAAAGTCACTTAAAATAATTCTCTGTGTGATCATGCCACTATTTCAGTATACAGTTTGATTCATTTGTTTTATTTCACTTTCCTTATTTAGGGATTGCCTTCACAATGCTTTTTGTCTTACAACTATGTAAAATAAATAAATCAGGTTTATGGAAGAGCTATGTTTAGCAAAATCAAGCTCATATTCTTGTCCCCTGTACTCCTGTGGGTAACCTCTTTTTAATAAGTGAATATAATTTATACTTTGTGTCTTCCCTAACATTGGTAGCATACTGTATGCTATACATACATACTTTCTTCACCTTGCTTTTTTGTTACTTAACACTGATCCTAGAGCCAGCTATGTAGGAAGATATTACTGATTCCTT